CATATCTTTTAAAATGATACAAACCAAGAAGTGAAAAATCCACTTTTTATCTCCTAGCCTCAGTCTCCAAGAGAAAAAAATCTCAGTAAATTGGTTCCTGACCCTCCCAGTTTTTCTCTGTGCTTGTTCAGACATATCTAGATGTTCTTTGTCAACCAAAAAGTTATATTGTGTTATGTGGCTTGGGCTGTATCTTGCTTTTATCACTTAACAGTCTGCCAAGGCCGTCCTTCCAGATTGATACACATAGGTCTACCTCACTCTTTTACATTTGCTTAACAAGTGCCTAACTGATGAACATTTAGGTTGTTTGCATGCTTTTACCATTTCAAACAATATTGCAAAGAGCAGTCTTGTCCAGATATCCTTGTATAATCTTCCTACAAGTCAGTTTTCCAGTTCCCGGCGTTTCTTTCTCTTAGAGGTTGCCAAATTTTGTCCCACCTATTTTCAGTTTGAATTAAAGCCAGCTCAAGCCATCTGATGCCAGATTAGCAAGAGGTTTATTATTCTTCTCTAGGGATCCCTTCCTTGTCCATGAATTGCCGAAGCTCCATGAGTTATGCTAGTCCCGAGAGAAAACTGGAAGGTCTGGTCAGGCCACTAATGGGACGCATTCTGACTGTCTTCTCTCCCATCACCGCCGTGCACTGTCAAGGCTGGAAACAAGCCCCCATGCAGTGTGATCTGTCCTTGAGCATTGCTGCATCAGTCTTCTCACTGGAGATGCCCCTGATGCCCCACAGTGTTTCTTTGGGGAAGATGACTCCACCTCCTCAGCAACGTGCTGACAGAGGGGTGCGCTAAGCCCACGCTCTCAGTTCTTCATGTTAACATCCAGGGTGGCCGCTGTTGTTTCCACAGAATGTGTCCTCCTTGTGTCCCAGTGTGGCTGGGTTGGGAGGGACCTCCTACCGCCACTATGGACCTTATCCTGCACCTCACCCGCCATCTTCTCAACACCACTGGATTCTCACATCATAGACCCAGGTTAGCAATTCGTTGTCGCCTTTTCTCAAGGCAGGCCCTCCCTGGAGACCACTGACGTACTTTCCTCCTTGAACCCTGTCTCCCCAGTGGAAAAGTTCTAGGTCTGGACCCAGGCACTGCTCTATGCACGTGGAGGGGATACAGACAAACCAGCAAGTTCTCCTGCTCTCAAAACGCTTCCAGACTTTGGGGAGCAGGGGCAAGTAATAAACAAATGCTTACATAAGCAACATAAAAGTTCTGCAAAGACAAAAGGCCAGGTGAGGTTATGGGGTGTGGCTGCTAGGGCTACTTTCAGATGGGGGGTCAAGGAAAGCCTTCCTGACGAAGTAACATTTGAGCTGAGGCCTTAGTGGAGATGTGGGTACAGCATACAAGGCATGGCAGACCCATGATGACGGCCGGTGTGACTGGAGCCGAGAGATGGGGAGAGTGGTGGGAGGTGGCCTCTAGAGGGGCAGGGCCACTTCCTGGGTGGGTCCTCCTGACACCCCCAGGACAATGAGCTCTAAGGCCTCTTCCAACTTCACCGTTTTCAAATCTTAAATCAGAATTTAGGAAGTCCTTTATGCCAAATGTGACTCCATAATTTGACAAGTGAGATTCTGTGACTTTCGATTTTGAATTTCCTTATTTTCATCTAAATTCTTTATTACTATTACCAGAAGAAAAAAAAAGTTTCTGATTTTCTTATGGCCACACTTCTTCATACCATGATACAATCTAACTTAGCCCAAGTTTGTGAAGAGAATATTCCTGAGTGAAGATGAACACAGTTTACTGATAAATGTCTAAATTGACATTTGCATATAAATGAAGCCAAAAGGTCAGGAAGGGAGAACTCCTTCTTCATCGTTTTTCACAGAAGCTGTGCCAACCCCAGACCAGTGCTGAGTGTAAAAGAGAAAGGTTAATTTTCCCTATTGATGCTTCTGTTGTTTCCAACTACTTCTGCCGTGATTCCTCCAGGCAACAAATGAAGCATTGTGAAGTCTTTAATGGTCCTCTCAGTGGACAATTACACTTTTTTTTTACGATGATAAATTGTGTAGTGCAGCTGATTACATTCATTTATGAAAGTGACTAAAAGCAGTGAATCAAAAGTTCTTCCGTGTGGTTATGTTAAGATAACCATCAGAGCCATAACAGAAGGTGTAGTAGACCTGGAATCAAGAAACCTGGAGTTGAGCCTGGCTCTGCAGTGAGCAAGCTGTGTGACCTTGAGTGAGTGACATCACCTGGCTACGCCTCTCTGTCCTTATCTGTACAAAAGGGAGAGTCCCGCTGCCCAGTATACTTCAGCTCGGGGAGCCGTTGGGTCTGGGTGGGGAGGCTGAATTACAGGGACGATGTTCCAAGCACCTGGGATGTTTCAAGGCACTTGCTTAGCTGGAGGTGGTTTATACTATACGTGTTCATTGTATTATTCATCTTTAAACTGTTGACACACGTTTTATACTTTGGTGGTATGTAGGATACATTTCAGAATAAATTTCTAAAGCGGTCAATAAGTACCTGCTGATAAACCTGACAAAAAGTGAATACAGTACTCTGGATCTCCTGGCAAACAATAAACCTAGGTAGAAGACAAAACAATTTTCCCTTCCAATCAAAACATATTCTTTTTGAAAAGAGCTGAATTGAGACAGTAATCAGTGGAAATTTTGAATAAAACAAAAGGGCATATCATGCTCAGTACAGCTCCTTCCCACCCTGGTTCTCCACTCCCCCCACTTGAGGTTTTTCAGGTTTCTCTCCAGAAATAGTCTAGAAAGACAGAGAATCTTGAAAGCAGCCAGAGAGAAGCATATAGAAGCATTTTGGTGTCCACTACTTTTTTTATATAAATGAAAGCACGTTACACATGCTGCTCTGTCCGTGGTAATTTTTTTCATTTATCGTGGAATATCAGCTTTATGGATTTAAATTTAGTCTTTTTCGTGCTATTTCATTTTATGGACACGCTACATTTTATCTAACAAGACCTCACTGAAAAATATTTAGGTTGTTTCTAGTTTGTGTTCTTACCCACGTTTCTGTAGCAACCATCTTTGTACTTAATCTTCTCACACATGTATGAGTGTTTCTGGAGAATAAATCTCAAAGTGTAACAGATGGAACAAAACATAGATCCATTTAGACTTTAATAAATATTGTAAAATGGCCTCCAAAGAAACCCTATCTTTCTACCCTTCTATCAACAGACATGAGAGCGCTACTTTCCTGACACCCTGGTGAAATGTGCTGTTATTCTTTTTATTTACAAACTTAAGAGCTAAAAATATATTTCATCATTTGATTTATTTTTTTTAACAATAAATGAAGATAAGGCACTCTTTTTTTTTTCCTCCAAACTTCCTGTTTGAGTCCATTGCCCATTTTCCTTTTGGTTTTTTGTTCCTTTGCTTTGTAACAGCTCTGTATATACAAGCCCTTTGCAATTATTTTTTTTTGAGTTTGTGTTTCTCCTTTGTTATTGCCTGTAGTATTTTACCTCTTGCAGAAATTTTTAGTTATTAGAATTTATCACATTCTTTCTGTATACAGTATAGGGTCTTTCTTAGAAATGTATTTCCTACTCTAGAGCCATTATAAATATTTTCCCCACAGTTTCCTTCAGTATTTTCACTGGTTTGTTTTTAACTTTTAAATTTTTGGTCAGTGTTGCTTAATAAATTTTTTTAGTGTAAGGAGTGAAGTAGGGACCCAGCTTTCTGGTTTTTCCCTGGGTGTCCATCCAGTTGTCTCAACTTCGTTTCTCAGCTAGTAAGTTTTCTTCCCACAGTTTTGAAATGCCACATTATTTGGGTTTAAAAACGGCACTGTCTGTAAACTGAAAGTTCTTGGGTAGATTAGCTAAGTCATTTCTGGCATATTCAAGGAGCCATCAAAACAGTAGCATAATAGAATGTCCTTATCAGATGCCAGGCCCAGTTATAAGTGTATTTCATATTTTTGCTTGTTTAATCCACATAGCCATGCTATAAGTAAGATTGGTACTGTTAGCTCCATTTACAGACAAGGACACTGCAGCAGAGAAGTTAAGTAATTTCCCCAAGGTCACACTGCTTGTGCATGGCAAAGCCATGATTTGAACACCAGCAGTTTGACTTTAGGACTCAAGCTTCTATCCACACTCTCTACCTCTTCCACAAAATAGGAAACACTTTTGTGTGCCCTTCCTTATATGCCAGACATTGTTCTAAGAACTTCACATATAATAACTTACGCTTCACAACAATCCTAAGATGTACATCTTCCAGAGAAGGAGGAATTTTGCTCTACCTTTAGAGCAGCAAAGAACCAGAAAAGTGTTTGAATCAGGGTTGACCTGATCAGATTTGAGTTTTGTGACGCTCATTAGGAGCAGCGTGGAGAATGGGTGGGGGAAGGAGTGTAGAGTGGTACGTGGGAACCAGGTGTCCGGCTGGTACCACGATGCAGTGACCGTCCACCGCAGGTGTCATCCAGCGTGAGTAGGCAGTGTCCATGTGGCTTGAGAATCACTGACTAGAGGCAGTTTCCACATGCCAGGCGTGGCGCTGCCTCAGCCCTCAAGGCAGGTACTTAGATCATCTACATTTTCAGAGGAAACGAAGGGGTTGAATGGTTTAGGACTTCACTTGTACTCACCCAGCTCGTAAGTGCTTGCTTCTGAGCACTAAGTTCACCAGCCCTCCTTATTCAGACCCAGAGATTAAGCCCTTCAGACTTGGGGTGCTGGCTTGGATTTGGGCTTGGTGATTCCTTCCCCATCCTCTGCCTTCTCAGAGTTTGACAGAAATCAAGGAGATTCTGTTGATGATGTTGATAGATGTATTGTTTATATTAAAAGAATAGCTCTTTTAAAGGTTTCTTTTCAGTTTTAGGTTAACTTTTCCTCAGACTTCTGCATATTCTCCTGAAGTCATTCTGTGAACTTCTACAGTTGCTTTTATAATTGCTGTAAAGGGGAAGTTTCAGGGTCCACTACCTCCTGCACTGCTGTTAACCGCCCTCTCTCCCCGCAGATCCGAGTGATGGTGGACCTGTGCAACAGCACCAGGGGTATCTGCCTGACAGGTAAGCTGGCCCCGCGCTGGCTGCGAGCAGCTCGCACGGGAAACACGTGTGCTGGCCAAGGGATCAGGGACAAAATAAACACCTAGGAACACTTTAGACTGTAAAAATACACGTTGATTTACTTTTACCAGCTGTTTTTAATGGGCTGAAAATCAATTGTAATGTAATTATGAAAAATAATATTTTCAGCATTGCTATAGAAATAGAGCCATAGAATATAACCAGGTCTTGGGTAATTAGAAATATGTGCTCCCTTGAACTGAGGCCATAGATGTTTTCCTTATTCCCATTAGTTTTTTAAAAGGGAAAAGAAAGGAAGAAGGGAAGGAAGGAAGGCAGGCAGGCAGGCCTTGCTAAGTAGTAGGGATCTCTTACCAGAAGTAATTCTTTCCCTACATCCTGCATATAGCTTGAATGGGAAGCTCTAGACGCAAACTCCTCATTAGTCAAGAAGACATTTTTTATGAGAAGTGCTCTGTGTGGTGCCTGCTGTGCTGGGTGGGACTGAAGGCTGGTCACACTCTACCCTACTCCACTCAATGAATCCTGGGCAAATAGAAAGGAAGGAGGGAATTAACCTCGAGGCACCTCAAGCTTTGGGATCTGAAACGGTTGATGGGGGGGGGTGCCGAGGAAGAGGGGAGTGGTTTTGATGTGGTTACACCAGAGACCTGATTCCCATCTGCAGGGAGGGACGCCTGCCTCCTGCCTTCAGAAGCTCACAGGGGGAACACGGGTACTGGCCAAAGGGCTAGGAACAGAATAAACACCTATGAACACTTTAGGTTATAAAAATATACATTGGTTTACTGTTACCAGATGTTTTTAATAGGACTGAAAATCAACTCTAATGTAATTATGAAAAATAATATTTTCAGTATTGTCATAGTAGTATGGCCATGGAAAGTAACTAGGTCTTAGGTAATTAGAAATGCGTGCTCCCTTGAACGGAGGCCAATCACCCAATTCATTGCCCCACCCCTCCACTCCCACCAGGCACTAACCCAGCCCAACATTGGGCCTGCGGTGCCTGATTCCAGACACTGCATTTCCTGCCTCTTTGGAGGGGGTGTAACATTCCGAGGAAGCAGAGGGAAATTATTTTTGCATTAAATGTCTATTATGGAGAGGCTCAGATCAAAATGGCAGAGTAGAAAAAGCCTGAGCTCACTTCTTCCCACGGACACACCAAAACTACAACTACCTGTAGAAAGACTATGTCTAAGAATGGCATGAGGACTAGCAGAGCAGATTTTCTACAACTAAGGATATAAAGAAAAGGACACATTGAGACGGGTAGGAGGGGCAGAGACACAGCTGAGTCAGAACCTACACCCCCAGTGCAGCAACCCAGAAGCAGGAGGGATGTCACAACTGCAGGGGTCCCCCCTGAGGAGCGAGGGGCCCGAGCCCCACATCAGGCCCCTCGCCTGGGGCACCTGCACGGGGAAGCTGAGCCCGTGTGACACCTGGCTTTGAAAACCAGTGGAGCTGACATCCCGCTGAGCTGGAGGGCTGTGGGAAACCAAGACTCAGCTCCTGAAGGGCTTGCACACAAACTCCCTAGCTCTGACTCCCAGCACAGAGGCAGAGCTTGAAAAGTGCTTAGTCATCTGAGAAGGAGACTCATTGACTCATTTTAGGGCATTTGCTAGAGGAGCGGGGATCTGAGGATCTTTCTCTAGGGATGGAAGTGCTGACAGATAGCATTTCATCTTCACTCCCCACCTAGCTGGCTCGGCAATGGCAGGCACCATTTCCATCACTCTCCATCAGCCTTACTAACACTGTGTGCCCCACCCTGAGGACCACTCCATCAGGCCCCTCCAAAGTGGCTCCCACTCCAGGGGGCCAGCCCCACCCACCAACATGCCTGCAGTGGTCATGGCCCAACCACAACAGGAGGGTGGGCACAGCCTACACGGGATTCCCCTAGGGCATCTGGCTCTGGTGACTGGGAGTGGATTGTAGCACTGAGCCCCACAGGATACCTTCCACTCTTTCAAGACCAGGAGATGTAGCTGACATACCTAATACATAGAAACAAACACAGAGAGGCAAAATGAAGAGACAAAGGAGTATCTTCCAAGTGGAAAAAAAAAAGACAAAACATCAGAAAAGGAACTAAATTAAAGGGAAATAAGCAATTAACAAGATAAAAAGTTCAAAGTATAAAGATGTCCACTGACTCCAGGGAACAATGGATTAACTTAGTGAGAACTTCAACAAAGAGAGAAAAAATATAAAAAAGAACTAATCAGAACTGAAGAATACAATAACTGAAATGAAAAATACACTAGAGGGAATCAACAGCAGATTAGAGGATGCAGAACAGATCAGTGATCTGGAAGACAGGGTAGTGGAAATCACCTAATCAGAGCAGCAAAAAGAAAAAGGAATTTTTAAAAAATGAGATAGTTTAAAGGACCTCTGGGTCAAGTGTACTAACATTTGCATTACAGGGGTCCCAGAAGAGTAAGAAGAGAGAGAAAGGGACAGAAAACCCACATAAAGAAATAATGCCTGGAAACTTCCCTAACTTGGCAAAGGAAACAGACATCCAAGTCCAGGAAGCAGAGAGATGCCCCCAAAAGATAGACCCAAAGAGGCCCACAACAAGAGACATTATAGTTAAAATGTCAAAAGTTAAAGATAGAGAGAGAATCTTAAAAGCATCAAGAAAAAATTAGTTATGTACAAGGGAACCCCCACGAGATTATCAGATGATTTTTTCAGCAGAAACTTTGCAAGCCAGAAGGCAGTTGCACCATATATTGTAAATACTACAAGGAAAAAAATCACAACCAAAAATAGTTTACCCAGCAAGGTTATCACTCAGAATTGAAGGAGACATAGAGTTTCCCAGACAAGCAAAAGCTTTTAAAGGAGTTCATTACCACTGGACAGGCCTTATAAGAAATGTTAAAGGGTCTTTATTATAATTTTTTATTGAAGTATAGTCAATTTATATTGTTGTATTAATTTCTGGTGTACAGCATAGTGATTCAGTTATACACACACACACATATATATTCCTTTTCATATTCTTTTTCATTGTAGGATTTTATAAGACATTGAATATAGATTCCTGTGCTATATAGTAGGACCTTATTGTTCATCTATTTTATATATAGTATCTACAAATCTCAGACTCCCAATTTATCCCTCCACCCTCCCCTTTCCCCCCTGGTAACCATAAGTTTGTTTTCGATGTCTGTGAGTCTATCTCTGTTTTGTAAATAAGTTTTGTTTTTAAGATTCCACATATAAGTGATATCATATGGTATTTTTCTTTCCCTTTCTGGCTTATTTCACTTTGTATGATGATCTCCAGTTCCATCTGTGTTGCTGAAAATGGCATTATTTTATTCTTTTTTATGGCTGAGTAGTATTCCATTGTGTGTGTGTCTGTGTGTGTGTGTGTGTGTGTATCACATCTCTATCCAGTCATTTGTTGATGGACATTTAGATTGCTTCCATTTCTTGGCTATTATAAATAGTGCTGCTATGAACATTGGGGTTTTTTCCAGATATATGCCCAGAAGTGGGATTGCTGGATAATAAGGTAAGACTGTTTTCAGTTTTTTAAGGAATCTCCATACTGTTTTCCATAATGGCTGCACCAAACTACATTCCCACCAACAATGTAGGAGGGTTCCCTTTTCTCCACACCCTCTCCAGCATTTGTCATTTGTGGACTTTTTAACGATGGGCATTCTGACTGGTGTGAGGTGATATCTCATTGTAGGTTTGATTTGCATTTCTCTGATAATTAGCTCAATGCGCACTTGAAGAGAATGTATGTTTTGGTGTTTTGGGATGTAATGTCCTCAAAATATCAATTAAGTCTAACTGTCCTATTGTGTCATTTAGCAACTCCATTGCCTTACTGATTTTCTGTCTGGAAATCCATCCAATGATGTTAGTAGTGTGTTAAAGTCTCCTACTATTACTGTATTCAAAGGGACTTCTTCAAATGAAAAAGAAAAGGTCATAACTAGAAATTAGAAAGTTATGAAAAAAAATCATTGGTAAAGGCAAACACATAGGAAAGGTAGAGGATCAACCACCTATAAAGATAGTATTAAGGTTAAAAGGAAGAAGTAGTAAAAAAAAAATTATGTCTAATTAAGTGATACACCAAATAAAAAGACGTAAAATGTGATGTCAGAAACATAAAATGAAGGGAGGAGACATAAAACTGTAGTACTTTTAGAATGCACTCAAACTTAAGTGACCTTCAACTTAAAATAGACTGCTATTTACATAAATTGTTATATATGAACCTCTAACTAAGGAGGTAAAAGATCTATAGCTGGAAAACTACAAGACACTGATGAAAGAAACTGAAGATGACACAAACAGATCGAAAGATACACTGTACTCATGGATTGAAAGAATAAATAAAATGACCATACTACCCAAGGCAATCTACAGAGTCAATGTAATCCCTATCAAAATACCAATGGCATTTTTCACAGGACTGAAACAAATAATCCTAAAATTTGCATGGAACCACAAATAACCCCAAATAGCAAAACAATCTTAAGAAAGAAGAACAAAGGACTCTGTGATTTGAAACTATATTACAAAGATACAGTAATCAAAACTGTAGGGTTCTGGCACAGAAACAGACAACATAGATCCATGGAACAGAATAGAGAGGCTGAAAATAAACTCATGCTTACACAGGCAGTTAATTTTTGACAGGAGCCAAGAATGGAAGTGGAGAAAAGACAGTCTCTTCAATAAATGATGTTGGAGAAGCTGGAGAGCCACACACACAGGATCCATACAGGACCACTTTCTTACACTATATGCAAAAATCAACTCAAGATGGATTAATGACTTAAATATAAAACCTGAATCCATAAAACTCCTAAAAGAAAACATAGGCAGTACACTCTTTGACATCAGTCTCAGCAATGTTTTTTTAGCTCTGTCTTCACAGGCAAGGGCAACAAAAGCAAAAATCAACAAATGGGACTACATCAAGCTTT